GGCTTCTGTACCCTGACTTCTTCTGTTTAGTGGAATGGACTATAGATTCATCCATGTTTTATACGTAACAGCAGTTCATTCCCTGCTATCAGCGAAGAGAATTGCACTGTATGGACGTCCCATAATCTGTATTCACCAGTTGAATCAAAGGTTTGGTGAAGGGCTTGGATATTATATTCGTACATTAGTTGAACCTCATCATCACATCCGAAACTTACAGATACATCTGTTTATATATTTGATTCCTATCATCACCCCAAGAGAAATGTATGTTATCCCCCACTTTATGGGGAAACAGGCACAGGGAGGTGACAGTACCTTTCCCCGGAGGCTGAACCCTTTTAGAGTCCTCAAGTGGACCGTGGCACTGATCCTTCCAGGGCACTGATGAAAATGTCCTTCCACCTTGCAGGGACCACAGAGAGAGAGGAGCCATCTCTGCAGCCGGTACCGGCCACTCCCCACAAGGAGGACGTCTACTTTTCGGGCAAGGGCCGGAGAATGCTGAGCTGGAGCAGCTCACTGTTGTCCGAGTCCTCCTCCGAGTACCAGTCCTACTCCCAGGACAAGTCTTGCTACTCCTGCACATACAGCGACAAGGATGCTGCCCAGCAAAACATGTGTGCCTTCTACACCCACGTGAAGACCGTGCAGGGCGTGGCCGTGGCCTGGGAGACCGACAGCGGCTTCGAGCCGGTCAGCAGGCAGCCCCGCATCCACGAAGCCGAGTTTATCAGGAGGCAGAGGCGGAAAGGCTCCTCCTTTGAGATGGCATCCAACACAGACCTGCGCTGGGAGCTGGAGGCCAGCAGGAGCAACACCTGCTCAGAGCCGGACGACGTGGAGCTGCTGGCGCCCCTGGAGTGCTGTCTGCAGGAGCTGCGGGACACCCCAGACTGGCTGGTCACCACCAACTACGGGCTGCGGTGCATGGCCTGCTGCCGGGTCTTCCCCACGCTGGAGGAGCTGCTGGAGCATGCCCAGTATGGCATCCAAGAGGGCTTCAGCTGCCAGATCTTTTTCGAGGAGATGCTGGAGAAAAGGCGGGCCCGGGGCCAAATGCAGGAGCAACAATCAGAGGAGGAGGAACAGAGCTGCTCAGACAGTAGCGAACGTCCAAGGTCCCATGTCAAGGTGCTTTCATCAGAGCCACAGACACGGCCGCAGAAGCAGTGAGCTGTGGGTGGTGCGCCCCACCCTGCCCTCACCTCCGGCACCGCAGTGGCTCCTTTCGCAGCCAGCAGGACCAAAGCCATCAGGGCAGGGAGAGAGGCTGAGGGCTGGGAAAGGATGCGAGTGGCATGCAGACCTGGGAGGGCTGTGAGAAGGGACAGGTAAGACGCCATCCCAAAGGGCACAGCATTTCAACCAGAGTCCATTTCAAAGCCAGACTCAAGTCTGACAGCAGGTGCAAGATCTGAAGCCCACAAGACTGTAGCCACAGGGATTTCTATTTTTGCTGGTGGTTTCAGTAGGTTACAACTCCCGGGAGAGCCAACTGCTAGTGAAGCTTCAGCCCTATTTTTTTTTTTCATTGTTAGAAACCCGTCATATGCCCTAGTTTGATGTCTTATTTTAATGTGATTAAACTTAAATAACTCAATGTTTAAGGCAATGGCTAATTGAATGAATCACGTTATTGGGCTGGACCCATAGGAAATTGACATCTCTGTAGGTTACACACTGGCACAGGCATCCGAGATGGCAGGTGCCCAGAGGTAGCGATGGCGGCTGGCTAAGTTTTTTGACCTATGAGTTCAGATATGTCAACTCTGGGTTTTAAAATGCTGCTACAAGATATGTCTTCACCCTCTTAGGGGACTTCATTCACTCAAGAAAACACACGGTGGCTCAATGGGTGCTAAGCAGGCTGATGAAATGTGGACCCCAACCTTGCAGTGAGAGGCAGATAGAACAGGCAATTGCAAAGCAAAGGGAGGAATCACCTAAAGGAGGGTTGGGGAGCCCAGTGGAGGGCCCCCAAACTCACGCTGGTTGATGAGGAGGGAAAACTTTCCAAAGAGGCTGAGGCTCCCAGAGGCTTGAAGGACAGAGTTAGTGAGACTGGGAGCTTTTGTCAAAGTCAACACAACTAACTAAGATGGCTTCTAGGAGGGGTGAACAGTGTTAAATGTGGGAGTGAGCTGAAGATAAAATATTCTTCCTTTCCTTTGGCATATGGAGGTTGCTGGTGGCTGTGATAAGAGCAGTGTCAGGGGCTGAGGGGGTCAGAGGCCAGACGGGCATGGAGCAGTAGTGGACATGAGAAAAACCACTGGACACAAGTATTAGACAACTCCGCTGGCAAGTTTGTCTAAAAAGAAAAGCAGTGATGGCTTAGCTGGACAGAAGGAAATGACAAATAGGCAAAGATGGGGAGAGAGCAAGTTTCTGTGCCGGTGGGAATGACTCAGAAGAGAGGGGGAGCCTGAGAATGCCAGAAAAATGGGGGAGGATCGAAGAAGAGGAGTCAAGGAGGTGAGAGGAGACTGGATCTTGACCAGATACGAAGAAACCAGCCCCTGACAAGAGTGCCCTGGTGTTCTCTGCCATAGGGCAGTTAGGTCAAGTAGGGTTTGGGAGCCAAAATGATGGAACTTGAATATTTTTTCTACCTGAAGACTGCTGGGAACTCTTGAGGACTTTTAAGCAAATCAGGTTGGCCTTGGTGAAAGATCACTTTGGTGAACAGGGTCAAGAATGGGTGAGGCAGCTTCACTGGTGACAAGGAGTTAAAGAGCTGGAGGCAGGATGTGATGCGTTCAGAGAGATTTAGGAGATGGAAATGACAGATTTTGGCTAGTGTTTGACGAAGGTGGTAAGAGAGGAAGTTGTCCAAAATGACTTCCAAGTTTGTTTGTTCGTTTTAAACCCGAGTGGTTGGTAAATGTCGGTGCCATCTGAAGACAGTGAAACACCAAAGGATGAGATTCGCTGGGACGCCAATGAGCCTTTTGAGGAAGCTCAGTTTGTGATAGAAACCTTCAGAAGGGAGCTAGTTAGAAGGATCTGGGGCTCGGAAGAGTGTTAAACGGGATGGAGATGGATTTGCCGTCATCTGTGTGTGTGTGGTTACCGTGGTGCTTTACGTGGCCTTGTGTTAGATGCATTCTCTCTACTGGTCCCAGTGCAACTTGGAAGCCATGGGATCATTTTAGAATGGATGTCCGTCAGGGGAATGATAGCATATCACCATTTTCAAGATGCAGCAGAGTCACAGACTTCCTAAATTCCCCATGAAAAGGGATGGAAGTTCTTTAGGAAGAGAAAAGAGATAGGACAGTGATTCAGACTTTGTCAAGCTCTTCTCAGAAGCGCTATCTGGGGCAGAAGGGAGCTCAGAAGGAAAGGAGAATTCAAAGGCAACCCAAGGGGAAGGGAGGCAGCTGAGCCAGAAAGAGGGAGCCCTAGTGATGAGAACATTTCTATTCAGAAATCAGTTACAAGGGAAGTAAGATGAGGCATGACATCTAAGCTTTGGAATTTCAGCCTTTAAAAGACGAATGTATTTATGTGTTAAAATCACTGATATTCCAAGAGCCAAGCATTGTTCTAAACACTTTAGGAATCTTGAGTCATGTGATGCTCTTCACGATCCAATGTGGTGGGTCCAAGGATGAGTCCTGGTTTCTAGGTGAGGAAGTTAAGACCTTGTCAAGGTCATACAGCTGGTGTACAGCAGAGTCAGGCTGCACACCCAGGCAGCCTGGTTCCAGAGCCTACGCTCTAACCATCACACCGAGAAGCAAAATATTCACGTCAAGACAGAGGCAAGGTATTTAGGAAAAGCAAACATGTCAGCTGCATAGGCTGTATTTCCTTTAGATTAAGCAGAAGCAGCTGGAGATGGGGGAAAGGATGACGGGCGTTCCGGACAAATGAAAGATGACAAGAACTTTGGGTAAGCACGCTTTTCATGTAGAGGATAACTGTAGCTGACCTGGATGGAATAAAGAAGGGATGAAATTGTTCTTAAGATAGTGACTTATTTTTATTCAAATAATTCTTTGCAGCTGGGGCGGGCGGGGGGAAGTTAATTAGGTTTATTTATTTATTTATTATGTTTTTAACGGAGGTACTGGGGATTGAACCCAGGACCTCACGCATACTAAGCACACGCTCTGCCACTGAGCTGTACCCTCCCCTCCCCCAAGACAGTGACTTATTTTTTAAAACATAACTTAAACTCAGCTGAGTTTGTGGTTTAAATATTCATTTGTGGTTTAAACTCATCACTTTGTAGAGACCTGGGACCTCCAGCAAATAAGACGAGCATTATCATCCCTTGATCCTTCCAGAGGATGAAGGGACTTCAAACATTTTAGGTCTTGGACTACTCCACACCCTTTATTTTCCCAGGCTATAGAGAAAGATGAAATTTGTTTTATGAAATTTACAGAAACATGATAATAAAGATGGCACTAAAAAAAGTAATATATTGATCTCACTTATAAACACACAATGATATCGAATCACATTGACAGAGTGAAAGGAACAATTCACCATGACTGAGTCTGAGTCATCTCATGACTGTAAAGAGAAAAATGATTAAATCTAACAAAACTTTGTATTGAAAGAAGGATCTTATGATAATCTCAGTAGATATTAAAAAGACAATATTCAAAATTAAGCCTATACATTTATGGCCAATTGATTTTTCAACTACTGTGCCAAGATAATTCAACGGGGGAAGGAAGAATCTTTTCAGCAAACAGTGCTGGGACAACTGGCTACCTGTATGCAAAAGAGCGAAGTTGGATTTCTGCCTCACATCATATATACAAAATTTAAAAAAGACTTACATGTAAGAGTTAAAATGATAAAAATCTTAGAGGGAAACAGACGTGTAAATCTTCATGATCTTGGATTACACAATGGTTTTTCTTAGCTGTGACGCCAAAAGCACAAGAAAACAGAAAAACACATAAATCGGACTTCCTCCAAATTAAAAACTTTTGTGTTCAAAGGATATTATGAAGAAAGTGAAACAATCCACAAAATGGGAGAAATACTTGCCCATCACATAGCTGAGAAGGGTTTAGTACCCAAAATACATAAAGAATCCTTATAACTCGACAGTAAAAGACAAGCATCCTAATTTAAAAAATAGGCAAAAAAAAAAAACCTGAAAAGTGTCTAAGAGTGTAAAACAGTGCAGCCACTGTAGACAACATTCTAGCAGTTTCTCAAAAGTGAAAAATAGAGTCACCATATGGCCCAGCAGTTCTGATAATTGAAAACACACATCCCCTCAAAAATCCTGTACACGAATACTCAGAGCAACATTATTTCTAATACAAAAAAAGCGAAAACAACCCACATGTCCGCCATATGATGAATGGATAAACAAAATTCTTCAGCCATAACAGAATGCAGTACTGACCCATGCAACAATATGGATGAACCTTGAAAATGTTATTCTAAGTGAGAAAAGCCAGACGCAAAAGGCTTCAACATGCATTGTTCTATTTATATGAAATATCCAACGAGGCAGATTTACAGAGACAGAGATTCAGGGCAAGGAGAGGAGTGAGAAGTGACTGCTTATGGATACAGAGTTTGTTCTCGGAGTGATGAAAGTGTTCTGGAATTAGACAGCAGTGGTGATTACATAGCTTTGTGGATGTGCTATGAACCGCTGAATTGTACGCTTTAAAAAGCTGAATTGTACAGTATGCAAATTATATCTCAATTAAAAAAACATGTAATAAACACAACAATAATTCCTATGTTATTTCTAAAACTAACAATAGAAACTTTCTTCAGATGATATAGAGTACTTATCTTAAACCAAGTAGCAAAAAAGGAAAAATATCTATAGACGTTCCTAATGAAATCAGGTAAAATATATCATCTATTACAATTTTTATTTAACATTGTTCTGGAAGTTCCAACTGATTCAGCGAAACAGGAGACCGAAATGTTATTTAGAATGGACAGGAAATTCTGTTCTTTTTCAGAGAAAGACAATATGCTTACCTTGGAAGCGCAAATGAATTCATTAAAAATTTTTGAAAAAAATGGTAATGAAAGGATTGAGACATAGGATGGATATCAAAAGCTTTCTTATGTATTATGTGTGACTGAATAGGGAACAACATGGAAAGTATTCCATGCACTAGATAAACAGATATTCATGGAAATACCGCAACTGTAATGAAATGTCAAAGTGATTCTTTCTGGTTGGTAATTTGCTGATAAATTTTGGTCTTCTGTAAGGTGTTTTATGTCTATTTTGAGGGAATATGGATTTTATAATAAACAGGCCATAAAACATTTAATAAAACATTAACTTCTCAGGTTGGAAGTGACATTGGGAGCCTTCCCCGTTCACCTTGTGGTCTATAGACCACACTCTGAAAACCCTGGTCCTTCTGAATTAAATTAGCTTTGATTTTAAGAGCACTTTATAATGGGTGAGGAGCCAGCCAACCCTAGAGAGTTAGGTTACAAAGCTCTTTATGTGATGTGTCCTCATTTCTTGTGAAGGTTGAAAGCTGAGTGAGAGGGTGATCTTGTGAGAGAGCCAGGGAGGGCGCTCAGATGAGAGACAGGGTGAAAACATAGCGAAGCTGGGAAAGAAAACAAGACAGTGCAAACAGGGCTCTGGAGGGAGAGGAGGGGAAGGCATGGCCGGAGGATGAAGGAAAGATAAGGAAGTTGGAGAAAGGAGATAGATGGGGAAAGAGAGAAATGGTAGATGCTGAGGATGACACATTGACCAGGGAATGTGACCCATTCACAAAGGGGGGGTCCAGGTAGGAGGCTGGAGGAGGAAGTTAAGGGTTCATCAAAGATGGTGGAATCCTGACTGACCCTTCCACTGGGGGTCCCTGGGATGCTCAGTAATGGATGTGTCCTCCCAAATTTATAGGTTGAAATCTTAACCCCTAGGACCTCAGGATGTGATCTTATTTGGAGATAAAGTCTTTAAAGAGGTAACGAAAGTAAACTGAAGTCATTATTAGGCTGGATTCTAATCCAATAGGACTCATGTCTTTATAAGAAGAGATTGGGACACAGATACCCACAGAAAGTCCACGTGAAGACACAGGGAGAAGATGGCCATCTGCAAATCAGGGAGAGATGCTTCAGGAGACGCCAACCCTGCAGACACTCTGATCTTGGACTTTGACTTCCAGACCCGGGAGACAATACATTTGTTGTTTAAGTCCCCATCTGCAGTGTCTTGTCACGCAGCCCTAACAGGTGATTACACATGCCAAAGATCAGGAGCCCGAGGCAGGCGGGCAGCAGCCAGGAAGGCTCGAGTAGATCCGTGTTTCCCGCAGGGAGCCTCCCTGGTCCCAGGCCCTCAGAAGAGCAAGCACACAGCAGGCACACCATCAAGATCTGCTGATTTACGTGCCCGGAGTGGCATATTTACATTTGAGACTGAGAGGCTGACTTTTGGCAAGGACCGAGTGGCTTCCCGGCCCCGAGCACTCAGAGTGCTCTGGGCTCCAGACAGAGGGCTCTGTAGAAGGAATCTGGTGGCCCGGGGTCTGGTTAAGAGAACACAGTATGTTCCCTTCCATTCTCTTCTAAGCCTCTAATGCTTCCCCTG